TAGCTAAATATTTGTGAATCGATATTTGATCAAACTGAGTATGAAAGGGGTACGATATATATGGGCCCACTACCCCTCCATGTGTGCTACTAGATATTATGCATCCACTAGATAGCCACATGTGTGTGATCAGTAACCTGAAGTTACGAGATGATTTGATTATGTATATGACACATAACCTGAAGTTACGAGATGGTTTGATCAAAGAATGACACAAGATGGCTGTGAAAGAATGAAAATAAGTGTCATATGAAAGTGATGAAGCTAGTAATATAATCAGCTCATATGATGAACTCATGAAAGAAAAATGTGCACATTACAAGTGATATGAGTTCAAAGTCCTCCTATTACATGTTGAAATCGAGAAGAAATGGAGATTATATGAACTCCCCTCAAGAAACTCAATACTGAAAATACAGATCAGGGATCTGTTAAGATGAGGGGGAGAATCAATTATTGAAATTTTGGAAATGATATATGCATTACACTGAAAGTGTGCAAATCATAAACTGAATGATACTGATGGTGGTTAAATATATGAAATAATATGATGGTGGAAAGATACGCTGGAAGCGTTGGTATTGTGCAAATTGAAATTCCCCAAACAAGTGATGAAAGGAGGCATATATATACTATCAATGAAATTAATTGATAATGAGATATCTCAATATATTACGGGGAATAATGGAAATGAATATGTGTCGACACAAACAAATGAATAGCGCTATATAAATGATATTGATGAGAATGAAATCAGCTAACTTGTGAATATTGGGAACTATTTGTAGTAAGACCATTGAAATCGATTGATGATGAGAATGAGTTTAAGAATGAAAGTTGCACAAAAGTATGATATGACATATTATCATGAATACCACCAGTATCGAAAAATCTGAATGAATCTATATAATATTCATGAAAATTATGGCAAAGTTATTATGGTGAATATGTGGAATACGTGTTGTACTCTTTTTCCCTTGGCTAAGGTTTTGTCCCATTGGGTTTTCCTAGCAAGGTTTTTAATGAGGCAACATGGATGATGTATTCACATGAATAGTGTACTCTTTTTCCTTCATTAGGATTTTGTCCCATTGGGTTTTTCCTAATAAGGTTTTAACGAGGCATATTCATGGTATAATGAGGACTACTGAATAATTGATATGATTCCTCATGATGATGAGAAAAGACTGGAGTGGCTGTACTATTTTTCCTTCGGTCAAGTTTTGTTCCACTGGGTTTTCTTGACAAGGTTTTAACGAGGCAGCACGTAGATACTCCATTAAAGATGATTTATTTGAGGGGGAGCAATGATGTGCTACCACAATGCTCAGGTTTTGTCCCACCGGGTTTTCCTGAGGAAGCAATGTTGTGATTACAAGATGATCAGGTTTTATCCCACCGGGTTTTCCTGATATACTGAAGTACCAGTACCGATGGCTACAAGATACACTTCAAGTTATTCAGATTGGATTTTGTACAAATCAGTTAAAATATGTTTAGAAATAGTCATTCAAGGGGGAGTGTTGTGAAATATTTATAAAATAATGTATGTGAATGACTATTTTGTCCCTGATGTAATTGTATTATTACGGTTGTGCCATCAGAAGTTTCTTATAAATAGGAGCTTCAGTTATAATAAAAATTGTACCTAAGAGAAATATTTTCTCTATTCTCTCTCTTTCTCTCTAGTTTTATAACAAGTATAATAATTATATATAGATATTAATATAGATAGATTATAAAATGGACAAAATTTGAGCAAGAGAAATAAATACACCCTGGCATGTGACATAGTCAAACTAGCTAGTAATGTTATGTTGAGCTTATTAATTCCCGTGACACAATATATGGCCGATTATACAAATGTTTGATTCCGTTGATGTCATCGGGGTTAAGCTTCTCCTCACTTCCCATTACCAGGAAAGGCTAGCATTCATTCAGAAAGGATATGTATTGTGATATTTTTCATATTACTTCAATAAATTTTTAAGTGAGGCCAGTCAATCGATTTCTCCTTCTTCCGGATCATTTGAAGCATCCAAATTACTGTGAGGTTCGATTTCTTCTTCCTCATCGTCATCATTCTTCATATACAGCCCAAGTTGCTCAAGTGGATTACTGCTTGTTTGAAACTTAAAACTACCAAGGCCATTTTGAGAATTTTCAGGGCTTGCCGCCTCTATGAAGCTTTGCAATGGCTCATCTTGTCCAGACCTGAACATCTCCAGATCTTCCATAAATTGGCTGCACTCGTTAATTTCAACGGTCTTCTCCATCTGCCGACAACACAATGCTTAAGCAGATATAGGTGAATAGTAAAACTCGTCATGCCAGATAATTCAAAAAATATCTCTTGTAACAGAGAACCCCCAGTAATCTTCAATGTTAAAAACTCTTTAGAACACAAATATAATGATATTCCGAAAGTTGATACCCTTCTTTCAATTATTCCTCTGAATGTGTCATTGGCTAAAGAGAAATTTTGTAACGTGTAAGGACATCCCATTAGTAAACCAGTTCGGGCTACTGAAATTGTAAAAGAACACTTACAAAAACGAAGGTTTGTAATTTTTATGATATTTCGTTTTCCAATCAGAATGATCCTCAAGGGTAATTTCACAACTAAGCCCAATTTTCCCCTTCCAAGAAACAGTAGTATTTTACCTTGAGCAAAGCTTCACGTGCAGCTTCCCTTTCAAGTTCTCTTTTCCTTTTGGCTTCTGCTGCAGCTTCAGCCTCGGCCTTTTTCCTAGCCTCCTCTGCAGCTTTGGCCTCAGCTTGCAATCGAGCTTTCTCTGGGAAGCATAAAACAATTCAGAGCATTATTGCGTGGTTAATGATTAATCCTGAAATAATGAAGTACCAGTTCCACACAACAGAGGGAGGAGGAAAATTGAAGTTTGCATTTCGGACCTTCTTTCCTCCGCCTTTCAAGCTCTTCTTTATCGAGCTTCAGTTTATCGGGATCAGGTCCTTCTCCCTGTAAAATAAAATTTTCCAATGTCACAATCAACACTCAGCACCATTGCTGTTTAGGGGGTGAAAGCAATTAAGAACCAGCAAACATGGTTTCACTAGAAAATACAAGTTATCGTTGTACCTTCTCATTTTCTTGAGCTTTGAGTATAATGTCAGCGAATCTGCTTCTCAATAGAGCAGCTCGGTACAGCTTGTCAGGGGAGACTTGCCTTTCTTGTGGAGCACCCTCCCCTAAAAATGGGCATGTTGTGTAAGATTAAATAATACATTTTCTTCACTAGTAATCCCACTCTTCTTACCCTCTCGGTTATAATGCGGCTCGATAGATGATGAAGGGTTTGATGCTGTATTTCGCTTATCTGCATTTACGTTCATTGAATCTAAAAATTAGCTTGGAGAAGTTAACTATAATCTTGTTAAAAAAAGGGTGTAAAATTAGTCATGGCATAACAGTTGGAGGCTAACCTCCACTATTTGGACCCTCCCTTAATTGACGGTGCTCCTTCTTTACAACAGCATCCGCAATTCCCTGGAATAGCCCACAAAGGCAAAAGAAATAAAGAATTTCACACTCATAGAATTCAAGAAATCTCTATGGCACCATAAGAACAATAAGCAGAAAGCTAAAAGGGCATGAAAGAAAGAGGTGGGAGTAGGAGAAGGGGGGTTTGTCGATAAGTAAGGCATACATTTAAAGAAGTTGCAAGAACTGACTTCTTGTCATCATTTATTTCACAGGCAGAACGACCAGAATCGGCTTCTGTATCTGAAATGAGATTTGAATAAATTTTTAAATTTACAATTGCCCACTACCCTTTTTCTTGGAATGGACAAATGCATACAGGAGTAAGATCGACAACACAGGTTGTTGATTATATAAAATCAGAGGCATGGTGCATGGTTATCAATGATGTACATGCCTATATTTAGCAAACCCGAGACATAGTGGATACATTAACACACATGCACACACAATAAAAGATAAAACTACAGTGCTACCACCAGTGATGTTATATAGCGTCCTTGGCGGGATGGTGGAAAGTTACGGTTTCCAACCAGATTCAGCCCAAAAAACGGTTTCCAACCAGATTCAGCCCAAAAAAGAAGTGAAAGGTCATTGAGCCACCCAGTTCTGCCAAAATCAACCCAGATCTGCTATAAGAAACCCTATTTGCTTGCCACAAGAAAGGGAAAAGCCACCGTCCCGCTGGGGACCCAACGCAGGCAACCAAACTCTGGCCTGGCAACCATTATTTTTTTCCCTCCTTTCTTTTTCTGTTTCCCTGTTCACTGTAAATTTTTCAACCTACCTTTTCTCTGTCTTTTTTTTTTCCAATTCTTTTTGCTCGTTTTAATTTCAAGATGGCCACTTAGCTGCTTTTATTAAATGAAAAAAGTAACAGAGGGTTTCATTTCTATCCTTCATTTTTCAGCTCTTTATTTATTTTAATTTTCCGCCTTTTCGTCCTACAAAATATAATATTTCTGATCCCCCTTTATGTTTAAGCTCTATTTAAGTTTTTATTATGAAGATATACATATATATAATTAGCGTAAAAATATATATTTCTCGGTCTGCCATGCCTTGCGCCATTTTCTGCCATGCCATCCACCAACTATTTATGGGGTTTTTTTCGTCTCTCCGCCATTGAAACACTGGTTACGACGAGACAATAGCGAATGCACATGCAAACGCAAAAGCAAGTGAGTGGGAGACAGAAATATTTATTAACCACCACCTACTTGTTCCCCTTGTCTGATAACAGTATCTTTCTTGATGCATTAATGAGTAAACAGTGTTCTCAAGTTATAATCCAAGTTATGGTTTAGCAACTTATGATTTAGCGGTTTGGAGCTTTTCTGTATGTCTCTATCCCCACAGAAACATAGCATTGGCAAATCTTATTTGGAAACTTATTCCCCTACTCTGGCATATATGAGGTCAATGGAATCAAAAGACTGAATGGAAGGCAAAACGCTGAGGCATCAACAATACGCACAAATAGTTAAAAGTCAACTGCAACTTTACAAGTCCAAATTATAGCATATGAGGTTAAACATTTATTTAAATTTATCTTATTGAATAAAAAATAGGGTGCATATGGAAGGGTAAACATAATTCATGTGGTATGATCGTAAACTAGACATTGAGACTTCATTAAGTTCCATTAACTCTTTATTCATAACAAAAGTAAACCAAGTATCAAATTGCTAGGTTCCCTAAACTATAAGGTAGACAACTGGACAGGCAACTTTCATGAGGAAAAAAGTTAAATTTTACAACTAAATCTTTTTTCGGAAAGAAAGACAACCAAAACAACATTTATGTGAACAAGATATATGACAATCACATATGAGATACTGCACTTTCAAAATAACCTTTCAACAAAGAACTAACCGAATACTAAGAAATGCAAGCATGTTTCAAGCAAATTAAGATCATATTACACCCTTAATCTGCTATTCGACTTGCAACATCTGCTCCAGAAAAATAGTGATTCTGACACTAATATCATGATGTTTCAAAAAGGTGACTTTGCAAAACCAATAAGTGGGGCATAAATATGCAGCTAAATGCAGAACTCTGACAGAAAAATGCAGCATTACCACTGAGTTACGGTTACATAAAATAATCTTGTGCACAAGAAAAAAAAAGGAAAACACTGAAAAAAAAAAACCATAATTATAAATTCACACAGCACAAACCTGAGTTCCTTGAACTGCTGCACTTATTGTTACTCCGTGCAGCATCCGCATCAGTTTTACTTAACAGATAACTGGATGCAGGTGGCTCAACATCTATACCAATATCCACATCTTCGTCAGCTGGCTCATATACTAATTAATGTTTTTTGGAAGAAAAAAAGAATAAATAAAAATGCAATCTCACTGCATAACAGAAATGCATTCTCACTGCAATCGCCTTTTAAAAAATAAATGCAATCTCACTACAACAAGAAAGTTACCTTGGCAAGGTTGGTTAGATGAACTGTCAAACCCAGATTCCTTTTGCATCTGTGAAGCCATACACGTATACAATACACCACATAAAATGATTCATAAGAAGCACAACAGTATATGTGACATACAAAAATGAATGTAAGATGTACCTCAATTTTACAAGTCTCGGGTTGTCTTTTCTGCCTCTGCATAAGAAAATCATCCAAAAGTTCCCGCAATCTGAACAGAATTTCATCACCAAGAGAATCCAACTCAATTTCAATCTCATCCTCACTTACTCGACTACTATTTAAAGTGCTCTCTTTCAGAAAACTGACAATATTATCTGGCAATTCGGCCAGATATTCCTCCAGGTCGGTACCCAGTTTCTGTCTCTCATCATCACTCATCACCCGTTTCTCTGTCTCATGCCTGACATTGCTTTCTATAGAAGTGGTTTTCTGCTTCTTAACAGGAGGCACATAAGCACTCTCAGTTTCCATAATGACACTTGATTTTGTAGGCGCACATTCCTCTGCTTTGGATGAAATCTTCTTCTCGATTGATTTCCATCTCGTTTCAAAGTATTTACTCATTGCATCAGCCATACTATGGACAGTATGTCCGACTGGGTTATAAGTCATGGCATTCCTGAATGTGAGTCTAACGTCGGCAGCAAAATCCATTGGGCTGCTATATTGATTCGAAAGTAACTTACTTTTCACCGTCCCTAAATCCATTGGATGCTTAATAACATTGAAGTAATCTGGGATATTATGTTTTACAATGTCAACTGGCTCATTAAAAATCCAAGCTAGTTGATGTCCCATTAGCCGAGTTAACAATGCATCGCACTGCTTCATCAACATGACAAAACCAGTACTCTTCGTAAAACTTTGCTGCTTCACAAGCTCGTTTCTTTTATTAGCTGCCACAGGTCCACCTTTATTTCTTCCGGGATGGAGTTTTTTCTTCCCTGAAGACACGGGCAAAGTTTCCATCATAGCATTTACTTTCGGCCCGTATTGATGCGTATCGACAACAGTACCCGGCTGATGGGCCGACACATTTGAGCTGAAAGAAGCTAATTTCCTTTGAAGCTTTAAGACTTTATCAAGCTCACTCTTAAACCTAATCTGAAAATCCCTCCTCTCAAAAGGTGATATCATAGATAGAGAAAAAAGCTGAGTCGACACAACTGATCTATCAAAACCATCCATGTTCAAGCTGATGTACTTCCTATACGGAGCACATGGGTCCTCAGAAGCAGCCAATTCCACATCAGCTCGGCCAGAGCTGACAAAACTTTCTGACTCGGCCACCGTCTCGACTGCATACCGATAATCCGGGACAAAGCCAGTTGAATTGCCCTTGGAAACTTTCCTAGTTTTCCCCATCATATTCCCATTCCGCCTCTTGGAGAACTGTGTCGATTCTCTGCGCCCGGTGTAATCTATGGGGATAGTTGGTGCCATAAACCTAACCTCCAAACAGTGCACATATCAACGGGCTCCCTCTACCCCAAAATCTCCTCTTCTGGCCAAGAAACAAAATTTAATTCTTCAACTTCGGATAAAATACTTCAATTCCTAGATGTCACAATTAAATTGCAGTCCCCAACAACTTTTCCTTCAGTACTCAACTCCAATGGGCGATTCTCGTGCTGTTTTATCCCCCAAAATCTAAAATGTCAATCAAACAAATGCCGAAATCCAACGAAAACCTAAACTTCAATAGTCTTGTAGACAACCAAACCTTAGTCCTATTCGCATCCTTCTTGCCCGATTAGAGAAAATGGCAGCGAAGCAAAATCAAAACCTAGATCGAAAGACTGACAAAGCCACATCCAAATCAAAAAAATATAGTGAAAAGTTCCAGCGCCGGATAGCCCGAACTCAGGCAACACTGAACAATTTTGGTTCATTTCAAGAAATCAAAATTATATACACGAATGGAGAGAGAGAGAGAGAGAGAGAGAGAGAAAGAAAGAGACGACTTACGAGTTACAACTTACGAGTATTTCCTTCTAGCGAGGCAATAGAGATGTGAGGAGCAATCACATTCACGGTGATACTCATACATGAGAGAGAGAGAGAGAGAGAGAGAGAGAGAGAGAGAGAGAGAGCTGGCTTAAAATCCGCCGTTGATTTTAGTGCCGTTATATCTAAGGGTTCACAATAAATCTCGACCAACTTTAATCGGATGCAGTTCCCGTCCACGGTTCAGATGCGTACACGTGTCGATCATGTCGAGTGTGCATAGAGGAATTCTGGTCTCTGGAGCATGCGTACAGCGTACTGTGCTGACTTACCCCGCCAACGGCCCATGGGTAGCTTGAAATCAACCCGGCCCATGACACAAATTTCACATATTTCCTTCTTTTGAGAAAATTATCACAGCATAACAAAATTTATACTATTGAGGTTACACACACATAGAGATTTACATTATATTTGATCTATGATTTACCTATTTGTTCATTTATAGGTGATGATGATCTTTGGTTTAATTCAAGTTTAGATATGGTTGATTATGAGTTTATATCGATTTCGTATGAAGGAATTTGCTCCGAATTTTTACTTTTAATTTTTTTTTTTAATTATGACGTTTTGTTTGTCATATGTATTTTTGGGCATTATTTTAACATGAATATTGAATTCAATACGATTTTCTGCTTCTTTATGAATGGATTGTAATTTCAATACACTCACAACAATCCCGTCAGTTCTGATTGTTGGAAATCGGTCAGGAGCTGGTCGGGTCACCGATCAGGTCTCGCGGGTCACGGCGTCGGGCGCTGTCCTGGGTCTCACGGGTCTCTGTGCATCGGCCGCTGTTTATGGTTCGTCACACGCTGTTGGGGCTGAGGATCTTACAGGCTAAGCGCATCGGATGCGAGAACGTAGGACGGGATCGTCGGGTTCGCACGTATGGAAGTGGGTAGGTTGCAGCGTCGGACTCGCTGGGTTGCTGCTGGCTGCGGACATCGATTGGCGCTACACATGCGCGGTCACGACTTGTAGTAGGGCGTTGCCTTGGCTTGCGTGCGGTGGTTGAACGGTCACTGGGAGCAATTTGCCGAGAAATTTTTTCGATAATGAATATATTCGCCAGGGTACTTGAATTATTAGACCTTATAATCTTCGGATTTATTACCTCTACGCCTTCTTCGAGTAGTCGCGGTGGTGCGATTAACAAAACTCCCAAAACCTCCTAATATATTTTTCATCCTATTTTAAATTGGACGGCATATGTTTGTAGGAGGTGTTGAAACTTGGTGTATTTAAAGGCTACAACAGAGATCTTAAGAAGGAGCTAAATATGAGCTTCTCCAAACACGTCCTTATATCTTCCAACTTATTAACCTTCTATAAGTCCTAATACATTTCAACTTAGTTACCTTCTAGAAGACTTTTATTTCTTCCAACCTGGTAACATTCTAGAAGACATTAAATCTTTCTACTTAATTATTCTAGAAGACCTTCTAAGAGCACCCACAATGCTTTTGGGTCTCTTACAAAAATACCATATGCCATGTAGAAATTAAACCTAGTCTATAATAAAATGTCTCTCAATGCAAATAAAAGTGGACCTAGTCTAGTTGATGTAGCAATAAACAAAAGAGACAAAGTCCACATTGAGTCTATTTTAGACCCAAGTACAAATCTGACTAGTCAGCAATTATTTATAATTTTTTGTTTATGCTTGTTTGAACGGTTTTGCTATGGAGCCAACAGTTGGCTCCATAGTGGAGCCAACTTTTTATATACAATAAATAAACATACCATATTCTCTGATTATTTAAATGACATTAATATAACTAATACAGTTACCCGTGCAAATGCACGAGAGCTAGGAAACAAAAAAAAAATTATTAAAAAAACATTTACAATTCATATTCACAACGATTAAATATTATTGAACATTTCCTTATATACAACGTTCTTCGTCTTTGAGGTATCTTTATCATCACAAATTAATATTTTCAATCATTTCTCATTTGTAACTCGTGAAACAGGGACATAAGTTGGCAATGCGTAAATACAGATTTCTTCAGGTATAATATTCATATAAATTACTCATCAATAACTAAAATATATATTTTATTTTTAACATGCATAAGATATAATTACTGATTCATGCAATAAATACAGAGTTATTCAGGTATAACATTCATATAAATTAATCTCCAATAACTAAGACGTATATTTTATGTTTTATATGCATATGATATATTTATCGATCAATAATGAGTCCTTACAAAAAAATGTCTTTAGCCAAATCGGTAAAACTTTAGAAGTTATACATAAACTTCGGGAAATTTTCATGTTGAAGTTCACCATAAAATATATCTTGAAACTTGCTATAGTAGTTTATATCTGCCGCCATTTGGTGCTACAATTATAAAATGTAGATACCAATGACTCCAAAACGTTTGAACATAACTACATTAATCTTTTTGATTGAGGGATGGATTCTTTATCCCTGAAAACCTTACAAACACAAATATTAGGAAATAAAATAAAATAAAAATATGTATAATAACTATTTATAAACAATAAAAAAAATGTCTTAAAAGAATCACCTCGCAATCTCGGTATTTCAATCTTGACCTCGGAGTCGTTGAATATCAATTCCCAGAAAACAGTATTTCAATCTTGAAAGCAGTCCTATCTTAGCATCGCATCACACATACTTTGATACCCCACCCTACTTTCTATACCTTTTTTACTCGTGTGTAAACAATTGTGTGAAAAAGATGTGAAAGATATGTGAATGTGATGGTAAAATAGTATTTTAATCTGGAAAGCAGTGTAACATCGCATCACACGAACTTTGATACTCCATCTTATTTTCTATATCTTCGTTACCCGTGTGTAAGCAATTGTTTGAAAAATATGTGAAAGACATGTGAATGTGATGATAAAATAATGAATTGCGTATTTATAAACTACCAAATATATATATCTTATTAAATAAAAAATGATGTCGTGAAAGGTAACGGTTCAAGCCACTAACATTGTGGTAACGGTCCAAACATATGTATTTTTAATAACTTCACTCTCATGGTTTTACTGTATTTCTAATTAATTTCCATATGTTACTCGTGTTATTGCGTTATGTTAATATTTTTTATAACAAATAAAAATTCTATATTATTTTGGACTTTGTCATTATTTTTATAAAAAATAAAAATATTATATTATTTTGGACTTTTGTTTAGTGTTGTTAAATATGTGACTGATTTACGTATTAAAAAACAAAATATTTTATGAACATACATACGTCTAAAATAATTAAATACCTACCATTTAACATTTAAATCACATTTTTATGTTATCGCGATATTACTAATAAATACAAAGATATATACGAAATACTCTTTATATTATGTAATCTGATAGTTATTACATATATTACATATATATGTATAATACTATTTGTTTATTAGATTAATTTAATCGTGATCAAATATTTTACAAAAAAAAAAAATATTTACAAACATAATGTTATTTATTTATTTATTTATTACGAAGAATGTTTGTGTGTTATTCATTGCGCATGTTTTTAAAATATCTTATATCTAATTTGACTACTATTAGATTTAATATTTTTGTGCAAAATTTAAGATAAAGATTTAATATTTATGTGCAAAATTTAAGATAAAAAAATTTATAAAATTCATGCAAGAAGCATACGAACACTTATTATTATCATAATTTATAAAGTATAAATTATGAAAATTAGATAAATAATATAAACTAAAATATTTCATAAAAAATCTAATAAAATTTTATAAAAATATTGTCAAGTACAAACGTTCAGTACTTTTAATTGTTTGTATTAAAATAATTAGTCACAATTGATAAACACGCGTCAAATCATTAAATAATATGTATCGGGTAATTATCGATAAACTAAATAAATATTAAATAATGGGTGTTGGGTAGTTATCGATAAATTAACTAATATTATTTGAGGTAGTTAAAACTAATACAAATATGAACACTTGTCAAAAGAATGTGAAGGCTTTCCAAAAATAGTAAGAGTGTTGTAGGTCCCACATAAAAATTTCTAAAAATAACAAGTGAGTTGCCTAATTATATAGTAGATAAATTTCGTTAATATGATAGGTTTATTTATTGTATATAGAATATTGGCTCCACTATGGAGCCAACTGTTGGCTTCATAGGAAAACCGCTTGTTTTAATTGGTTGACATTTATTCTAGACCTAAGTCTTTTATTTTTCCATTGGAAAGGTTTTGAATTTATTTTTTATTTGAGTTTATCCATGTCATTAGGACTTAAGTCCAATTATATGTCACATGTATAAAATTGGACACAAAGCATTCTGGGTGCTCTAATTCATATTCCTAATAACATTCCGCTAAAGTAATATTATTGATCTTTACATTTAGCTCTAAATTATATAATAATTCGCCCTCACATTTATAATTTAATTGATCGACACCTCCCTATTATTAAGATATAACGTCTATTAATTAATTTAATTATTGATAATAAAATTAATTAATTAATTTCTTTTTATCTAAAATTAGTACCACTTATTCTTAATTATTATGTTGGAAATTAATCCGTCTGCAGAGGTTAACTTAATAAATCCATTCTGAGCTCATTTCGAGTATGTCATCAACACGGCGGACTAGGACATAGTGGCCGTAAGCAATTTCAATGGCACATCATGTAAACAATATTATTTATCAAAATATCAAGTATGTCATCCTAAATAAAATAGGAACGACTTTGGTAAATCAAAAAAATAAGTGTTGAATACATATGTCCGTTTGTTGTCTTAAGAGAATACATCAACTACTAAAGTCTAAATTATTTATTACTTACTATAAAATATAAACTTCAAATATTAATTATTAAAAGCAACAATGAGACATACTTGGGAATGTATCAATGATTTTTTTCCCATATCTTATAGTTAAAGTTGACATTATATCAAGGCTACTTGTGTCAAACTGTCAATACTGAACATTAGAAGAAGTTTAAACTTATTCTCTTCTTGATTTATGGTTTTATTGTATAAGAAAAAATATATATCATTCTTTAACCTTTTTTTCTTTCAAAATTTTCTCTTTTACAAATACGTTTAACTTTTGGACTTCGTAATACATGAATTCTCCTGAGCACAGAGCAAATACATCGAACTTTTGAAGAACTAATATAATCGTATAACAAATCCAACAACATAAGTTGCAAAGTCGAAATACATGAAGTAGAATATGAGACCACCACAATTGCATGAATGTAAACAATATTCACCGTCTTTTCAACTCACAATTTAGAGGAAGTTCTGGAAATGGCACGGTCGACCAGCTCCCTACGTAGGATCTTTCCAGCTGGAGATTTTGGAATAGAGTCGAGAAACTCAAGGCGTCGTATCCTTTTATAAGGAGCAACCTGTGAGGAGTTCAAGAAAAGATTCAATCATTTTATCGGCACAAAGTAAGGGAAGAACAAAACAGAAAATGAGCAATGTTATTAATTTGCATGCAACACTGTATGTATTAAGAGACATACTATAACACAAGAAGTCCGAATTCAGGCAAAAATGTACTGGGAACATGCATCTTAAAAAGGTGTAAAATTGAAGAACTGAAAAATATTCTCTTATTAACTTAGTCATGTTGTGATAAAATTGGGAGAGGGGGAAATGAATAGAATGTGATATTAAAAACGTGCCTGTTTCGCAATGATATCCATGATTTGAGGTGCAGATATGGTGCTATTAGGCTTTCTCACAACATACGCCATGGGAATCTGACCAGCTTCTTCATCTGGATATCTGTTATGTAACATCATAGTAAATGAATAGTATATAATGTTCATGAACGATGCATGTGGACAAATGAGTACTTCGTCAACTAGAATTTTGCTGACTTTGTTAACGATTTTTATGTTAATTATGCAGAAATTTTATGTACGTGCTGATTTTTGGATGCAGTTATCACTTTTTATATTTCTCCATTTTGAAAACATTATGCATGCAGTTCATTCAGCAAAGACAAAGCATATGAACATAATAATGATTAAGAAGACAGGGATAATTGGATCCAAGAAAAATGCATACGGAATAACTGCTGCGTCAGCTATTTGCGGAATTGACTGAAGTAATTGTTCGAGTTCAGCTGGAGGAACCTGAAATAATCATCTCATTAATTAGAGAATCAAAAGATATACTGATTATATTTATTTATTCAATCAAATTCGTATACTATGAGAAAGACATTATTTCTAGATCAAAATTATGCTCACCTGATACGCCTTGTATTTGATCAATTCCTTCAACCGATCAACAATGTACATAAATCCATCTTGGTCGAAATAACAAAGATCACCGGTTTTTAACCAGCCTTCTGAGTCCAAGGTTGCACTTGTTGCTTCATCATCCCCGGCATAACCTACAGTTGTCATACCCAGAAAACTACATATCGAAATAGAAAACATGGAACCGCAGGCTTTCCTTATTGTATCTATCGGTAATTTTCAGATTGTGAAGAAACCGAGTGGTTTGCGTTGCCACCTTCGAGATAGGGCCAGACTCAAAACTTTTGAGAGTAATTTTTGTCACCTTTCATAATTGTGGGTCCCCGCAGCCAAAGTTCTCCACGATGCCCAGGAGGTAGGGCCTCTCCAGTCACCGGGTCAACTAACTTGGCTTCCATGTTCTCAGACAACCGGCCCGCAGACCCATACCGCTTAGCCTCATCGGGGCCCACTGTTCGTGTTGCACCACCTGCGCTCTCAGTCAATCCGTATCCCTGAAATATTCAGCCTAATAAATAACTTTGAAATCGAAGAATGTAACGTTACAACAGTTTTCTTGAAACTTGACAGTAGTACCATAAAGAGTGAGGTAATTATATGGATAATACTAGATTTTCCCATTCAGTAAAATAGCCAAACTGCTATGCTACATATTGAAGTTGAGTACTCAGACTAACTCCAACTGTCTCTCTTCAAACTCTTTAGATTTCTCTCCCTAAACTTTAACTCTCCATATATATATATTTTCATGAGGCTCCTTGTTTCACTTTTATTCCAACAACTTCCCTATTATAAATAACTCTTGTATGGTATAATGGAAAAGGTACATTTGGCTCGTTAGATTTAGAGTAATTTGAAAATATAAGGAGCTCTATTAATATTTAAGAAACACTTCAAGAGAGCTTGCATGTTAGGCAAAATTGTGTTGATCGACTCCCCAAACAAGCAAAAAGATGTGATTTAGGGAGTCCTCGGAGAGTCTCACACTTCCTAAGTCGAATACTAAAAACCAAAAACATAATATTTAGGGGGTGGAAATAAAAATTTCGACGAAAATTGCATATTCCAACTGAAATTCCTACGGTAAAGTACCGTTGGAAAAATAGTCGTTGGAATCATCAAATTTCACCTAAGATTCCTATAGAAAACTCATTCCTACAGAATATTTTAGCTGGAATTTCCGTTTTTGGAGTAATTACAATGGAAACTATACTATTGGAATATCCGTTGAAATATATTACAATAAGATTTCCCGTTGTAATATAACAATTCATTTTTGTAGTGGTGATACTAATTATTTTAGTTTTGATTGCATTGTCAGATAACCAAAGTTAATTATGAACAAAATAATATATAAAAT